GACTCATATATTGACCAGCGTGAATCCAGCACGTAGATAGCAGGGCGGTGACATGGGTCAAAGAGGTGGTATTCAGGCTAAAGGGTGCTATCCTGCATAATGCGTGAGATAGGTGCATGACTGCTCAGCCAAAAAGCCAGACCAGAATCATGGAACACTAGATATCGGTTATCTCCACATATATAGATTATACAGAAGGCAATCCTGACAACTGGAAAGTTCGAGAACAATAGAGAGGAATATATAATAGGTAATTGGGATGACTTTAGATCGGCAGATCATGGTTTTGTATTCTTAGTGCCACAGTCTAAGCATAGGCACTTGAGCAACCTTATGGTCAGAGGTAATTTATTTTCAATCCATGGTGAACTACAGACTAAAGAGGATAATAACAGCTGTTTTATACATCATTATTATCCTTACCGATGATACAGTTTCCCATATGTGTTCACGTATCATATTCTCGTATCTCGTTCTCGTATCTCGCTCTTTGGCCCTCTTCTTGCTCCTCGTCCTTGAGGTTTCATAATGATCTGAGTGACACTTAGAAGCCCCTGCTTCCGAGAATAGGTTTGCGCTAAGGCTGCGTTAGACAGCGCAGGCTACAGGCAAACACCGGCTTACCAGCCGTCACACTTAGGAAATCTTTAGACATTATTGAATCTTATGTTGAACTCTTGAACTATGGAACTATTGGACCTTCGGAATGCGAACTCCTCTTATACTCTTGACAACAGTAACCTTTCGTGAGACACGTTGTCAAAAGCCCCGGATACATCCAGACTGAGAAGGGATTCCATTAGCTGCTTATCTTTACTCCAGATCGTAAAAATCTATACTGTGAGATGTTCCACAGCGAAGATGGTGGACTGTTATTTTCGAGCACCCATCTGCTCTTCGAGAAAAAGATTGTAAGATTCGGCTGCCTTAGAGACACGATTGGCTACTAGTTTTTCTAGAAGCTTACTTATAGTGTTAAGAAACTCAATCGGTCTATACGCTTTTGGAGTGTCGTAGTTTGGTTTCTGATGCTTTCTCAAGACTATAGTGGTAGAGTCCTTGAACTCTCTTACATGATATCCTATTGCAAGACAGGCATTGAACAAGACCGTAAGTATTTTTCTCGGAGTCTTCCTACAATGTTTTAAAACTCGATTGGGTATTCCATCAGGTCCTTGGGCTTTATTGTTGGGTAGTGAACCTGTTACTTGTTCGATTTCTTCCTCGGTTATTTTGTTAGATATTGCCTTGATCTCATCAGGATATTCTGTGTTAGCAATGTCGCGAGTGTATGCCTGTGAAGGTTGAGAGAAGAAGTGATAGGCCATAATTTTGGCTTTCTCCTTGTTTTCTTTGACGGTGTTTCCTTTCGCGTCCTTAAAGTCAGGTATCAAAGTAGACCTACCTCTTCTTTCGTCGTTCTTCTTAGCCCATTTAGCTAGTTTCCGTATTTTGATCGGGTCTTCTGTTATCTCTGAAACGAGAGCTCTTCGGCCCAAGCTTTTGGCTTTCTTTATCTGTCATTTCTTCTGGTTTGTGGCTTCTTGGTATCCGATCCAGCTCTCCTCGTTGCAGCATAGGGTCCATTTTCTTCTCGCCTTCCTCGCCATTTCCACTGCAGCTGAGTATTTCTTGTTCCAGTACGGCTTTGCATATCAAGAAGGTTTCTATTTTGGTACCATTTCTTCGGTTGTTTGTTGGATTGCTCTAGTAAAAACCGCAACACTCTTATCAATTGCTTGCCTCGAGTCTTGCTGGCAACCGTCTGGGTTCTGGTTTAGAATTGCGTCGAGTCGGTCTTTGAATGCTTGCCAATTTACCTTCTTCACTGTGGATAAGGTGTATGTTCAACTTGGGTAATTGGCTGTATTTGGAGTTCGGTGCGTATGGGAATATGATCGGAGGATGCTTCAAGCTCGTTGGCTGGTTGACACACTATGGCAGTCTCCTCAAGTTCCTTAGAGGCAAACGTTAGATCAATAGTGCTTTGGCTTCCTCTGCTCTTCCCAGTGATTGTTCTTTCCGGCAGTATAAGTTCCATGTTCAGGTCTTGGAGCATTTCGATTAGAGTTTTGAACCTTTATGGCGTGATATGGTTGCCTAGCCTCTCCATTTTGAGTGGTGTAGGTTGAAGTCTCCAACCAATATATGAAGGCCATCCTGTGTTAGCATTTGAGGGTTCCACTGTAGTGTTCCTGGCTCTGCGTTGCTATGAAATTTGGGGGGAGGATTATAGAAATTGTGAGCCCTCACTTTCCGCTGTTTAGTCTAAAGACTAATCGAAGTTATGTCTCCACAGACTTCTTCGGGGACATTTTCGACACTCCATTTATCTGTACCTAGCCGCTTGCTGACGTATATGCAAGTTCGGTTGTTCGGTTTGTTTGAGGGTACCAAATGGTATCCGGGGTACTTTATGGTAAGATTGTTCAATAGTTTTCGCAAAGGTTCTTGGACCGCTAGTATGTGGTGTACCTCAGGGTTAAGCTCTTGAAGAAAGCGATTCTATTGTAAGGGTCGTAAGGTAGATTGTCGGTAAATGGATCATATTTGGGCAGTATGAATTGTTCTATCTAATTGCGGTATTCAGGTTGTCGTTAGGACACTGACAGGGATCTGACTTAGCTCATTAGCGAGGCGCTTGGAGTAGAGGAAGAAAGGGCAGAGGGAGAAGGAAAAGGAGGGAATAAGTTTAATGTATTTTGAGATAATAGTTAATTGACTATATTCACCGACTTCATGACGGACAGCTGACTTCGTGACGGGGCCCAATTTGTATTACTTCGTGTTTTACCAACATAGATGTTATTCACGAGCTATCTAGATCTAGATACAAAGGGGAATCTTAAACTGGAAAAGAAATTAACTGGGGGAACCCACTATATGAATAATCTGGCTTTATGCTAAGGTTTTGAGTTATCAAAATGAAGTGAATGATATGGAGAACATGATGTGATGGATATTTCTTGCCCAGGTGCCTAGTTGCACGGCTTCTCTACATTTCGCTCGAGCTAGCTCTATCACCACATAACCATCAGACTATGCAGCCATTATAATGCAGGATGTTTGGGTCTCCCATCATCCTTTAGCCCTATCACATATTAATCCTCCAATATTCAAATGCCTTAGGCCTATACCTGAATTGTGCTAGGCTCTAGCCTATAACATCTATACCTTGTTTTTACTTTTGTTGACATTGTAATGTTTGATACTCCAAATATTTATGCTTTTTATTGTGCCATTTTGCACAGCGATGCATCGCTTCCCTCTGCTTGGTCCTCACGTGTCACAATCCAGTGATTAGTCTGAGTATTTGAAAATATCAGCTTCGTCTTTGTTGGCACCTTAGCCCATGTTGCTGAAAAATCGCCAGAAATTGGAGATTTTTGCGGTCTTTCAGGGCCTTCGTGAACGACAACTTCACCGTCTATTCCAATGAGCTGAGAACCAGCGGTACCGGCTCGTCTTTTCATAGATTCAATAATCTGCCATTCAGCCTCTGCTTCCATCGCCTGTACCTCAGGGCGTCTACATATTCCCGGATCTTGTGTCCAATTCTGAATTGCTTTTGATTTGGCCGCAATCCTAACTGGGCAACTTTGATTCCATGCTTCGTGACATCTACTACAACTACTGCATCTCGCCTCTTGTTTTCCAGTACAGACTCTCGTGTTATGTGCTTTTGCGCACTGGCCCCACTTGGCTTCTGTAGTGCAGACTTTGGCTGTGTATCCGTACTTCTAGCAGTTAAAGCATTGTATGGCGTGGAACCTAGAGCGGAAGAGCCCTGCCGGTTTGACTTCGTAACGCCGCATTACTCACTTCTTGATCGCTCTATCTGCAGATTCCGCTTCATCGAACTGCAAGATCAATGACCACGATGATTTTCCCATGATATATGAGCTCTTTAGCCATGCGGCCTTTTGTATTCTGATACCTTGTAGTTATAAGGCATTTGCTTGAAGTAATTTGATTTGTTCATGACTCTCCGGCTCAAATGATACCGAAATTTCGTAAACTAGGACTTCCTAACTGTGCTGTAGGTGCAAGCTTTGTGGTCCACTACTTCGGTTTTTCGATCATCTCCTTCGATTCTTGACATGTGAAAAAATACTTTAACATGTCAGTTAGACATCTGCTTCGCCGCTATAACTTTATTTATACCGATCTTCTTTACCAGCTCTTCGCTCAAGAGTCTAGCAATTGCCTTCTTTTCTTTTTCATTATGTATTCTTATGGTGGTGCTGGCAACTTGGGTTTTTCCAGCTTCTTGTGCCCAGGAATGTCCTTGTGTAGGAGCTGAGGCCTTTTCCAGTGAAATTGAAGCTTTAATGGTTTGGATTTCCTGTAGAATCTTAGCTATCGTTGGATTTTCATCACTAGCTTTGTGGATTAGTTGAGATTTCGCGTCACGAAGTCCTTCGATAACGCGTATTGCCTCATTAATAATCTTTTGTATGCTCTAGCTGAGAGCCCATCTCCGTCGACTGCACTCTAGAACCTCTGTAAGGCTATGTCATATCTTGAGGGTTTTTTGACGCCTCGTTTCCGACTTTCGGGGCCGTTTGTGACATTCCACTCTGAGAATCTTTAATAGGGTTACTCTCCATCACTGATAGGTTAATCTTTCAACTTCACAGGATTAAAATCGATGGGGGTAGATTTTTCATCTGACAATTAAATAATTGAACTCAAAATATATTTATAACACTCGAATGGAATCTCCTTTTCACTTTTCAGACAATTCCAATTACCAGGTTAAGCCCCGGCAATCTGTTTTATAACATTTTCCCGGACAGATACTAGATAAAGAAATAATACTATATCATTACGCACTTTTCCAATATTAAAGTTTTTCGTTTAAGCTCTTAAGACTCTAAAGCTGAAGTCTAGCCATAAGGGTGCTGTGCATGTAAAATGGTTTATTTGCCAGAGTCATGATGTATCTGAAAATTCCACAAAAATAGAATCATGTCACATGATAAAACCCTTAGCCGGATCTATAGTTCATCTCTCTGCTGCTGTGCTTTCTGTACCTCAACCTCTAAGTCTATTTTCTCCATGCTCCTATCCTCTTCTCTGGGCACTTGTTGCCTTTGTTTGGCAACCAAGGCAATTTCATCATCATATATAGTCCATTCTGGCACTTGTCTTCGAGCCCTATCTAGTTTAGGTTCTTTTGTTAAAGGATTATTGCACAAGTCAATTGTCTTAGCATTCACTAGCGCATCATCACTACACCATGTTTCACACCAGAGCCATTCCTGGGGCAAACTGTGAATGGGTAGGACATTCTGCATATGATTTGGCAGATCCTGATCCAGATTGGCCAGGGAGCCAGGATCTGCTGAGAGTGCGTGGTATTGTTGCCGTAAGCGATCACCCGCAGCAATTCGTCGAAATCGACGCAGATCTACGACATAGAGGGCTGAGATATGGTAAGGTAGGCCGCGGAGGAACTTTTCCCAGTATCCTTTCTTCCAGAAACGGAAGCCCTCCATCTCAGTTCGGCTATCACACATTGGCGTAAAGCCATACGGTGCACCGTTTAGGTCATGTTGTACAAGCTCAATCATATCCGTTCGGACAATTTGATCTGCGTCGACAAAGATCACTTTATCAAGTGAAAGTGGAAAAAGAACATCTAGGAAGAGAATTTTATATCCCCAAATTTCTCGCTGCTTCTCTGTCTGCGCTCGAAGCCAGTGAGGCCATTTATAAGTCACCATCTCATATTGAAATTCATACTGGTTGGCTAGGTAAGGAATAAAGTCCTTGAAGGATGGAGAAAGGAATTGTTCGACAAACCAAAACTTGACTGTGTGATTCGTATTCTTCATCACGCTGACCATCATGATGTTTAGCATACGCTCATAGAGATGCCCACTTGCGACTGAAAAAATATTGATATCGGCTTGAGTATTAGTGGGTTGTTGGCCTTTCCAGTTAAATAAATCTTGCGCCAGCTTCAATCCCTGCGAGACGAGTCCTCGATTAGAGTCGGTGCTTGGCTCGAGAACGTCTTCTGTTCCCATACCAATTCTGCGTGATAAGCGGAGAAATAATGTGGTTCCTTTGAAGCTCATCATAATGACATCACTGTTTTCCTCTATGAATTCTTTCCAATTATGGGCGCCGACACTATCAATATGAAATATTTCCGAACTTCTTCCTTCCTGTAACCTTATACGATAGTATCCAGGATTGGCTTTGAACTGAAAATAGCCCAAATTTGCCATTATAATTGTGTCTCCAACATGTGCATCTCTTTCTGTACCAAGTACTAATTGAACACCGCGTGGGCTCCGACCACCGATCGCTTCGTGGCAATGACCTTCAATCAATATATGCTCGAGCTCATATATAGCTTCAACATCAATTTTTACAGAGCTCAGCTTAATATTGTCTAGGTCATGTACTGATACCTTGGGAGCAACAAGCCAGGTCGGAGGGAGATCCATGCCGATAGTCATGAGTGCAGATTGCGGCATATCTTTGAATATTGCTCGAGGTGCCTTTACATCTCCATTGGAATCGAAAGACGGCTTTGATTCCAATACAAAACGATAGAACCGCTTGACAGGTAGTTCAGTCAATCGCTCTTTGGGATTGAGAAAGAGCTTCATGTATACTCCCTGGAGTTCTGATAAGACCTTTAAAATTGCTACCCAGCGCTGACCCTGATGGCTGGCCGGATCCAATATCACAGTGAGTTGGATATCTGACGTTTCTGGGTTTCCAATTTCAATAGCTGTATGATTAGACTTCCACATGTCAAACTTATTCATGCGAGATATGGAAGGCTGCTCAAAAAATTCCTCAGTAGGATCAGGAAGTGTCGAGAGTGCGACTTTTGATGAGAATTTGGCCGCTTCGACCACACTTTGAATTTTATGTCCCAGGCCTAGGTCAATCATTGCGGCGTGAGTAGGTGTGATACGCTTCCTCCGCTCGTATGATAGCAGCGTTATCAAGTCCTCTAAACTCCACCCACTTGCACTCGAATCAGGAATAGGTCCCACAAGACGTCCATTGATCAAAATGGCATTCTGGCCCGGCAACAGCCCGAGTGTTTCTATAAAAGGACTAAGAGATTTCCAGAATTTTGCTGACTCTGTTTGAAGCGCTTCGTCGCGAGACACACTTTCTGACGTTAGAACATTCTTAAGGCTTCCATTCCGCTCCCATCCACTAAAACCACGATCTCGTAGATGAGCATAGATATTATCACTCAATCCAGAACTCGTACAAGAAAGGGGATTATGTGCGATACGCAGGTCAATTGAAAGTGTCTTCTCTCCAAAATCAGCCGTGGTTATCGCGAGTTTTTGACCAGCAATAGAGTTCAAATCTGCTATTAAGATAATATACGCCGAGTCCGAGTGTATTGAGGATGGATCTGCTTCTAATCGTGGCAACTCATTCACTAAGTCCTGATATTTACTGAGAAGAACGTGTAAATCGAAAACTTTCAGGCTTCTAGGATTTTCAGGGATAATCAACGGATTTCTATTACTCAGAGCTTCGTCCAAAAAGATGCTGGGCAACCAAACCTGGTCCTCTTCTTCTTCGAAGACTCCATGAAATATAGCCTGCTGAAGCAAATGTAGATCCGTATTAAGCTGCTGACTTACAGTTTGAAGCCATGAGTCAAGACGGGGTATAACAACTCCGTCCATAAATACTGGTGGTATCGAATCTTCAGCGCTTAGTCTATGGAGCCATTTTTTCGATGCTTCTATCTGCTTTCTAATTTCATCTGACTCTAAGACTTCTTTCAAAGACAGCTGAGGTTTCTCGTTTATTGGCTTACCGACTCTTGTTGCGTGGTCGAAGGTGAGGGAGCTAAAGCCCTCCTCTAGCTTGGCTTCACTTGAACGTACGAGATAAGTGACGGCTGACTGTAGGCCATAGGTATTGGTCAGATGATATATGATCTTTGCTTGGTTCACAGCAGAAGGCGTCAAGGTAATAGGAACAATGCCAATTCTGACACATAGTCGTCTCGTTACAAAGCTTAAAAGTGTATTGACAACAAGCGCAATATCTTCTGGCTCGCTGAAGTCTACAGGAACAACCAAGTTGAAGGAGTCCCGCCGGATCGTTGGAAGCTGTCCTGGATGTACTCGTTGTAACATCTAATAGTTTATTAGCGTGTCTTATTCTCAAAAGATTGATTTAGAGATAAGCAAATAAACTTACGGCAGATAAAGCTCGGGGCCATTCCGCGTACCTTGGGTCCTCCTCAAGATTATTCATCCAAATTATAGCATTGCCTCCCTCTTTTTCGTCTCTCCAATCATATCGCTGATCTTCATTCGTTGACTGTGCCGTGCTGACCAGAGGGTGTGAGACCAGCCGAATAGCATCAGCAGCAGTCAGTCCTAATGCACGGATGCCACTGATAAGATGGCGTTCCTTGCGTAGAACATCAAGCAAATTAAAAGCCTCAATTTGCCGATCAATTAATTGAATGCCGTTCATCCAAATGATACCATGGCCCTCTGGAACGAGTTGATTCCGGTTGTAGCGATGTTCATCCAGAAATTGGGGCGCGACTTTGTGTGATACGAGTTGACTTGAGTATTTGGGAAAGTCTCGAGTAACACTTAAGAGTGTATCTAAAGGTGACTTGCTCTGCATAACATAGCTGCCGGCTTTGACACCAAGAGGCGAAAGTTCCGAAGCTGATAGAGGTCGAAGATCTTCCACTTCATCCTCGTTTAGCTTGACTTTGGATTTGAATTCAGTATCAGTATTCTCGCTGTTCTCATTTTCAATTTTCCCTTCATCTTTTTCTTCGCCTCGGTCATCAATTACTATATAATCAGTGCTCTTCAGAGCTAACTCCACCCCCCACCCAGAGGTAGATATTGGTTTGGATACTGACGTGAATTCACGATTTTTGTGCCGGATTCGATACGATAAATTACCATCAAGGGCCTGGTTCATTAGCATGTGATGGAATTCTCCAAATGTCGGTGAAGTAATATCTGCGTAGAGAATGGCTGTTTGCGCCGATACATTACCCAGAATCCGATCGAATTCCAGTTCATGAATGTTCCTTTCATCAATATTAGCACAAAACTAGTTCGCGAGCTAATTCTGCCTACAATTCCAACTTAGTATTTTTTGGCTCTGCCACCAACGATGGAGAACAATATTGATTATCCTTCAGGAGGATCCATGTTTGACATAGGCTTTTAGAATCAACTTGAAGTGAAGGTTGTACTGCAGTGCGGTAGTATTGATAATGCGATTCGATTCTTGGCGCAGAGACGCGCATCGACAAGGCAAGCTGGTACGCAGACAAGTCTGCCGGTTCCGTGATATGGCCATCATCTTGTAAGATTTTTAAAAATCGCTCATAGACTTTTTGATCAGAAGAAGCGTCTGCAAAATAGCCATCCGCCACACGATTCAGAAGTGGGAAATATGATGTAGAATTCTCCTCAGCCGCGGTCTCTCTACGAAATTAATGTCAGAATTGATAATACAGACGCATTCGTGGTAATCTGCCTACAGTAATTCCAGTAAATATGGGGCAGAGGAGAAGGCAGTTTTTAATTCCAAATTTATAGAAGGGCCTGCTTGGACAAACCCGAGCTGCCTGTTTTGTAAGATGCATGTTGTCACCAATAGGATCCCAGTCCAGACGCATTGTAAATTTAGTCCTATCATTAGTAGATTTAGTTTTTCGTACAAAGATTTTTTTGGGAATTTATGTTCATGAATATTGCTCCATTTTTAGATTAATATATATGTGAACGTCTCACCAAGTGTATGCTTATTGACACGTGCACGTGTAAGAAGATAAGCTTCGATAGCTGTGTCGAGTTCCGTCTTTGTGGCCTGAGGCAGTAACTTACAGAATCGCAATACGTCGCAGCTTCTCATTTGCTGTATTAGTCTAATATAGTTTTAGTATTCTTACTGAAATTCGCCAACTTTCGCATCCAGGAAGGGTCTGTCGTGAAATCACTCTGAATATATCTTCGCAGCTGAGCGACAATCATAATTACTACATGCCAGAAATATAGTCAACCTCTTTCCTTGTTGAGACTGGTCAAGATGGCCACTACATCATCTCCAAATATGCTCACCAAGGTATTTTATACACAATTTATCCATGGAAACATCATTTCTAAACGAAGATCTAGTTCGAGTCCAAATCGTCTCGAGCAAAAGGCATTGCTTTCCATCCCAAAAGGTCTATAATATGACACCATCCCTAACACTTACACTGCTTACTAGCCTAGACCTTGGATCTTAGTATCTTTACATTCTTCTACTATTCAGTTATGGGACTACCGAATGGGAACATTAATTGACAGGTTCGAAGAACACGATGGTCCTGTCAGGGGAATCGACTTTCATAAGACACAGCCTCTATTTGTGTCTGGAGGGGATGATTACAAAATAAAGGTTTGGTCATACCAGACTCGTCGGTGCCTCTTTACCCTCAATGGGCATTTAGATTATGTTCGAACAGTTTTCTTTCACCACGAGCTACCATGGATCATTTCAAGCTCGGACGACCAAACTATCAGAATTTGGAACTGGCAAAATAGATCACTCAGTAAGTTACCTTAATAGGACTATTAAGTCACTTAGCTAATATCGATCTTCAGTATGCACCATGACGGGACACAATCATTACACTATGTGCGCCCAATTTCACCCCAAAAATGATTTGGTCGTTTCAGCCTCCCTTGACCAGTCTGTACGAGTCTGGGACATCTCAGGGCTAAGGAAAAAACATTCTGCACCAAGCTCAATGACATATGAAGACCAAATGACGAGAAGTAATCAAAACCAAGCTGATATGTTTGGTAATACTGACGCGGTGGTAAAATTTGTGCTTGAAGGCCATGACAGAGGTGTAAATTGGGTGGCTTTTCATCCAACCCTACCCTTAATCGTCTCTGCAGGTGACGATCGACTCATCAAGTTGTGGAGAATGAGCGAAACTAAGGCATGGGAGGTCGATACATGTCGCGGACATTTTCAAAATGCATCTGGCTGTCTATTTCATCCTCATCAGGACTTGATTCTTTCGGTGGGCGAAGATAAGACAATTAGAGTTTGGGATTTAAACAAGCGCACCTCTGTTCAATCCTTTAAGAGAGAAAATGATCGATTCTGGGTTATAGCTGCACATCCGGAGATCAACCTCTTCGCCGCTGGTCATGATAACGGCGTGATGGTTTTCAAGCTTGAGAGAGAGCGGCCTGCATCAGCCTCATACCAAAATAATATATTTTTTATAACTAAAGACAAGCATGTTCGGTCATACGACTTCCAGAAAAACCTTGAAAGTCCGACGTTACTGACATTAAAGAAACTTGGAAGTCCATGGGTCCCTCCTAGAACCTTATCATATAACCCTGCAGAGAGAGCAATACTTATAACATCACCTGCTGAGCATGGATCCTATGAGCTAATTAACCTCCCAAGAGATGGTTCGGGCTCTATGGATTCAACGGAAACTAAGCGTGGTCAAGGAAACTCCGCTGTCTTTGTCGCCCGCAACCGATTTGCGGTTTTCAATAGCACTTCTCAACAAATTGACATCAAAGACCTTTCTAACTCGACCACAAAGACAATCAAGACTCCAGCAGGGACTACTGATGTTTACTTTGGAGGGACTGGAAATCTCCTCTTGCTTACTCCCACAACAGTCTACTTATATGACATACAGCAGAAGCAGAATATTGCTGAACTAGCTGCTGCAGGAGTGAAGTATGTGATATGGTCTAATGATGGGCTCTATGCCGCACTTTTAAGTAAACACAATGTCACAATTGTAACCAAAGCTTTGGAGCAAATTAGTACACTTCACGAAACTATTCGGATCAAAAGTGCTGTTTGGGATGATGCTGGTATACTTCTTTATTCAACCCTAAACCACATTAAATATACCTTACTCAACGGTGATAATGGTATTGTTCGAACTCTTGATCAGACAGTGTATCTAGTTCGTGTTAAGGCACGTACTGTCTACTGCCTTGACAGAAACGCGAAACCGAAGGTACTAAATATTGACCCTACCGAGTATCGCTTTAAACTTGCATTAGTAAAAAGGGAGTATGAAGAGATGTTGCAGATCATCAAAACTTCATCTCTTGTTGGACAGAGTATTATCTCATACCTTCAAAAGAAAGGCTATCCAGAAATAGCTCTACAATTCGTACAAGATCCCCAGACTCGTTTCGAACTTGCAATCGAATGTGGTAATCTCGATGTGGCTTTGGAGATGGCCAAGCAACTAGATCGCCCCACGTTATGGACTAGGTTAACTTCTGAAGCTCTAACACAAGGTAACCACCAGATCGTGGAGATGACATATCAAAAGCTTAGGCAGTTTGACAAGCTTTCCTTCCTATATCTTGCAACTGGTGACGAAACTAAGCTCACCCGGATGGTGAAAATAGCCGATCATCGTGGCGATTTCACTTCTCGATTCCAGAATTCCTTATACCTCGGAGACATTAGCGATAGAATCCAGATGTTTAAGGAAGTTGAATTATGTAAGTCTTGATAAGCCATAGAAATATATATAGCCATCTAATTATTTTAGATCCCTTAGCATACATCACCGCGAAGTCCCATGGCCTTCATGAGGAAGCTGAATCAATACTCGAAGCTGCGGGTCTAACCGAGGATCAGGTTAAACTCCCGCCTATCGGATCCCATCAACCTATTCCCAAGCCGATTGTCTCCACGCATAAGTCCAACTGGCCAACAAAAGCCACATCGCAGTCCTTCTTCGAAAAGGCTCTGCTCGGTCAGCTGGGAGGTCTCTCAAATGACGAAGAACAAAATGAGATCTGCAACAGCTACAGAGATGAAGATCATGAAGATGATAATAGAATGAAACTGAATGGTCATGTAATCGATGTCGAAGAAGATGATGGTGCAGTTGGCTGGGACATAGGCGATGACATCGTTATGGATTCCGAAAACGATGTAGTTCAGATTTCTGCGATTGAAGGAGGCACTGGAAGTAGTGAAGCAGACTTGTGGGCTCGAAACTCGCCACTTGCTGCCGATCACGTTGCCAGTGGATCATTTGAGACAGCCATGCAACTTTTGAACCGACAACTCGGTGCTGTTCAGTTTGCGCCGCTGAAATCACGATTTTTAGAAATATATCAATCAACACGAACGTATCTACCTGCTACTCCGGGACTGCCGCCCCTTGTTAATTACGTTCGAAGAACCGTAGAAGAGACTGACTCTAAAAATCTTCTTCCTATTATACCTCGAGGCATCGAATATCTCGCCACAAACGAACTGCAGAGTGGTTATACAGCAATGCGAACAAATAAGCTGCAGGATGGAGCTGTAATTTTTCAACGAATTTTACATGCGCTTCTTCTGAATGTTGTATCGAACGCATCGGAAGTAGAAGAGGCTAAAAAACTACTAACCACAGCTAGTGAATACAGTCTTGCCATAAATATCGAGCTATCAAGGCGCAGTCTAGGATCCGATGACGATGTCTCCGACTCGCCAGAGAAGCTAAAACGAAATCTAGAGCTCGCAGCATACTTCACTATTCCTAAACTGGAAGTCCCCCACCGCCAACTAGCGCTCACTAGCGCCATGAAAATATCATACACAAACAAGAATTTTAGCTCTGCATTAAGCTTTGCGAATCGGATTCTTGCTAATGGGGGAGCAGCCAAGCTGCTTGAAAACGTGAGTTAATTTTATTTAGTTCAAGCATAACTAACAAAATACAGGCACGAAAAATTAAGGCCCAATGTGAACGTAATGCTAATGATGCACATGATGTCGATTTTGATCAGTTCGCCGAGTTTGACATCTGTGCCGCCTCCTACACGCCCATTTACTCTGGCTCAATGTTTGAAGTTTGTGCTTTCGACGGGAGCAAGTACCAATCCAAATTTAAAGGTACTGTTTGTACAATTTGTGGCGTTTGTGAGATTGGAAAGAGCGGGAGTGGGCTGAAACTTTTTGCGTGACACCTTTTGAAGATGGGAAGAAAATGGAGTTTGGTAAAAGGTGAAAGGTAGCCAGACCATGCTGCTATCATCGCGACATGTATAGTGAACCCAATATTTGAATTATTTATAACTGAGGTCGATCAACCCTAATATCTGCTTACTCAAATTTACCAGCGCATTTGTGTAGTGTACTGTTACAAAAGCTGAATTATTCAATACGATAGGTTGAGAGAGATATATCACGTCTATTCAAACAATTGTCTCTAGCTCTCTAGCGTAGCTCAATGTATTTTCGATTATAATCTTGCTGTGTTCTTTGTCGTCAACAGCCTGGCTCATGCATGACAAGGTGTCTTGAATTGGAAAATATATCCGACCATCTCTAACTAACCATCCACGTGTTTTAGCGAAAGATATTACTGCTCCCTCACTTTCAAGGAATAATAGATCTTTTGTTGATGAGATGGGAAGGTATGGGTAAGCTTGCTCGCTATTATTTGCGATTTCTGTTCGAATTTGGGAAGCGAGGATCTTAAGAATAATGTTAGATTAGGACAAGAGTGACCAGAGATGTGTATTACCTCGCTGAAAATGCCATACTCCTCGCTGGGAACCTCTCGATTAGCAATAGCCTTCCACACCTGATCATAAGTGCCTTCCATCAGCCACCGCTCTAGCTTAATTGGGTATCCTAAGTATCGGTCTGCCTCAACTGCATCTGCCGCTTCATGTCTCATCTCAAGAGCTTCTAGCTCCGTGTGAAACCCCGCATAATCACCTTGCGTCAGCAGCAGCAGGAGATATAGCCCCGTAATCTTGTTCTTGTCTCCTATAGAGTCTGGTAGACGTTCCGGCGGCAGGTCATAAAATGGTTTGAGCTGATGCACGTAGCGTGTAAATGCTTGAGGATCTTTTGCTCGTATTGAAAGTAGCGCGCCATACTCAAAAACTTCGCGAGCAAGAAGTACTGTGGATTGTGGCGTGTTTGGCTGAGGTAGGAGAGCCTTGAGTTTTAGAAGGGTTGTTTTTGCCTTAGAAAGTAAGGACGAACATTCCGCATAATTATTTGACTGCCTTAATTTTCGAAGGATTTCTTGTAATTCACGCTCGGCCATACTGAAGGATGTGAAATATCACTGGTTCAGATTTTGGTTGAGGTTGATGTGATATTGACCCCTACAAACGTGTTGTAATCGAAGTGATCATGTAACTTCGCCAAGCCTTATCACGTGCATATAAAGGCAATACAGATGTTATATTCGGCACGGCTTATCTTTGAGCTCCTGCTGACGGTAGGGTCGAGTTCTTCATCTTCCAGCGATAACAGTCTAGACACCTAGTATGTTCGCATATCTAGGATATTCAAGTATATTCGCAGTCCTTCCTTTCGGGATTCTCATTCATCCACACAAGTACCAGTCAGTTTTATCTCAGCACCCCTTCCACGAATAGATTCCACAACTGTCTCAGAGAGAAAGAGCGAAAGTCTTAACCAATCTAAAATATTTAAGTGGTGGCAACACAGCTTATAGTAAGCTGTTGGCAGAAAGGGTCAAGTGCTAGTTAGGCTTCATAGTGGTGGTCGTTTAGACTCCTACATGGGTTATTTTCGATATGACTACACCCGCTCATCGAAAATAAGTTCGGGGGGATTTTCGAGGTTTCTCTGATAAGGTTTTTCCCACGAGCTAGGATTTTAGGGTCATGGCAAATCTATTTTTACTGATTTATCCTGACGTAACTTTCTGACTCAAATGAAGGTATTGTGAAAATCCGGGCACTGCTGTAGCTTAGGGGATCATGTATTCAAGCTATTCTTAATACGTCTTATACCCCTACGAGATGGTGGCCTTGATTAATAAAAAAAAAATAGAGATGGTGGCCTGGCCCACATAAGAAGACAAATATCACACACTTTACATACCTCGTTCAGGAACGCTATAAGTTCATGCAGTTGTTTATAGCTATAATAGTTCAAAGTGTGGAAGCTAATTCGGCCGAAAATCCGCGGTCATACTATCTTATCTCTTTTGATTCTCGGGCTTTTTCTTTAAGAAGTGCGTTTTTCACTGATCATCCAGTGTGGATTCAGTCCTGTCCTGGAAGACAAAAACTCGACACCTGTCAGCGTTGTCGCCCACGAACCTCGAACTCTGGCTGTAGAGTCTACAGAGCAGGGATTTAGTAGCTTATTTTCAACTTTGAGCCGAATTACCTCTCCCTCTCTCAAAGATACGCTTCGGATGACACATAAGACGATTAGAACAACGGTCATTATACTGGGAAGAAGAAAGATCTTGCGTTATTAGACACTACAACGGTAGTTTAAAAGGCCCTCATTTTATGACAACATGTGTTACCCATCGGCGGGCAAATAAAAAGCCCACGTAAGTCAAGTAAAAGACACTTCCGCTCTCAAGAAAACCAGACTTCGACTCGTTAAAAATATCGTCTCTTCTAACCTACAAATCGTAACCTACTTTGCAGAAGAGCATCTGAATTACATTAGTTACTCGACAACCCCACGTCCGTAAAGACTTTTGGATACTAGACCAAGCTCTCTCGCTGTAGTCGACCTCAACTAAGAATTTTTTGACACCCTTTCACGAAATGTTGCACGTCCTGTGACACGAGTCAGGTGAGGAGTGATTGGAGGGGAAGAAAAGATGATAGACGCTCTCAGATATGAAAAGGTCTACTGCACCCGGCTAGTCGGCTCCCTCCAACATTTCAAAAGTGTGATCTATGGAACACATGGATTATATCAAGCAAACTAGCTATACCACTATTTGTACTCAATATCACGTGTTATGCTAGGCTAGTCATCACAAATAAAGTAGCTATGTCCTCGGCTTTGGTCATGACGTTGGTATTACGAGAGCCCCGCACCCAGTGCTTTTGGAGACTTGTATCTATAGTTACACAATCGCAAACGGCCATGGCTCTATTAATTGGAGTGGCGAGACAATAATGAGATAAAGGCTCCGTTTAATGTGTACTCAAATGAAGACCTGTAGGGGTTATTATCGCTGGAAAGATGTTGTGAAGGAGGTATAGATATTCCCGGCCTGTAGGCAGTAAGGGCCTACAAGACATTAAGGATTCATCTGTCACGGTTTGAGTGTCGATTCTGGAGTAATCAGATATACGAAGGTAGTTGATAATTTTCTCTGAGGCTAACTATCAAAGCATTACTTTAACTATTTATGTTAGAATTTAGAATAATTGGGGCTGTCAAGTAGGCCACATTGTTGATACACACGTGACTGCAAATTCTGTACTTAGTTTCACTTCGGTAGTTACTTGAATCATTGCGCTCTACAACCTCAATGACTGAGGGGTCATATTTTCCTTAATAATTTATACATTTATGAAAATATCAAGAATACTCGTTCTTAGCTGATATCTACTTCTCGGATATTCCACTCATAATAGCTCCCAGTCTTGCTACCGATTACTAGAATATTTCATTTACGGTTGAACTGATCTGGAATAAAGATAGACTACTGTAGAATTCTAGAAGCACGTGATTGTAATCACGTGCTACAAAACAATCGTCCCACAAGCCGCTACTCTTCGACTCGTTAGAATAGAATAGAATTTTATTTATGTCCCTACCGAGTCTATGTCTATGAAGGACAGCTAAAACTATCTAAATAGCTTTAAAGTTACTAGTAAATTTGTATAATGTTGTGCTTAATTTTTGCCAATAGATGATGAGGGTCATTCCCTATTTTTCGACTCGTTAGTGCAGGACCTCACATCGCTGCGTGTACAAGATCACGTAAACAAGCAACAAAAGCTGGCTGGTAGACTAAGGAGTGCACTCAGGCTCATCTTAACTTTTGCAGGGCCCGTCGTGCGGGTCTACCAGCAACCCCCGAACGTCGTGCCTTTGGAAAGGTAGTGAGTAAATTAAAGCGGGCATTCTGGCACAACAATGTAGAGCAAATCTCCAACCTCAAGGAGGCCTACCAAATCACGCGCTGGCATCAAAGAGAGGCGCACTATCACACCCCTCCCCTAGAGAGACCATCGGACCCGATATTCCATCCAGTATAGAAGGCGTGGCTCTTTCAGGAAACACTTCCTAGTCGTCATCTTAATCAAGCAGATTTTGATGATGCAATTCCTACAGCGGCAAAAAGATCTATTGCATGGCCTCCGCTGACAGATGTAGAGATCTACAACTCGTGCTGCACTGTCCCGACATCTGCTCCCGGGCCTGGCAATATTACTGCAACAGTACTTCGGCGTGCCTGGCCAATAATCGGACCCCGAATAATCTCCTTATTCCGCCAATGTGATGGGTGAGGGATACACCCTAGCGCAGTTAAGAAGGCTAACGTTGTTATAATACCAAAATCTGGAAACCATAACCGAGCTCTCCCAACATCATACCGCCCAATCGCTCTTCTATTATGCCTTGTAAAAGGATTGGAGAGACTGGTGGCGCGTCGTCTTTTATCCCTAGTACTGAGACATCAGTTTCTTTCCCGGGATCAGTGTAGCGCAGTCCCGCGGAGATCAGCTACCGATCTCACCACTGCATTGTCTTGCGACATTCAGGAGGTCTGGGCCAAAAAACATGTAGCCGGAATGGTAAGTGTAGATGACAAAGGTGCATTTTATGGAATTCAAAAAGGTCGCCGGAGGGCAAGACTGAACACCTGTACGCGGTGTCCTCTATGAACCTGGGAGTGAAATATTCTCCCAGAGCCAAGTTCAGTCAAATTTCGCAACATCAAAGAAGTTGGCCCACGAGGCAAAAATTCAAATTACTCCACCACGTCAATCTTTCACTCCCAAAGAGTCCGATACTCAACTAAGCTTCATCAAGTCTACAAGTACGACATAGCACATCCCTATCCCAATGACCATACCTCTCGTCGACTTTCTCTGGCCTCAGTTGACCACCAAATACACGCCCACGCCGATATTTATACCCGACTGAGGAAGCAAAGCGTGGAGTACAAATCTGGGAGATAGCTCTTTGGGATAGACGTGAGAGGGATCAG